CTGCGCTCTTGTCGAGATGCCGCTTTTCAGACTCGTGGTGAGGCACAGCCAGCAGGACAATTTCCAGCTCAGAGGTCTGCAGCTCTGCACCTGTATCGTGGTGGTCACAGCCTTTTCCACCCGCGCCTGAGACCCTGAGGGCCTACTTTGGTCTCACACTGGCAGGGCCTGGGCAACCATTTCGGACACTGGGACAGAGAATCTGCTCATCCCAGAGACTGCGTGTGGACTCTGTGCTGCAGATCTGAGCAAGCTAGGCATGGAGAAGTGGAGAACCAGGCTTGTTGGTGCCAAATGCAGAGCCACTGTGAGTCGGCAGAAAGTAACGTGGTCTGACTTGAGTGAGGCTGAAGATTGAGCAGTGTGCTTGCCTTGCACCGACAAGCACCAGACCAGAGCAAAAGCGAGAGTCAAGCAACTTGCTTATCTTGCGAAGAACCAGAGAGGCATGACAGCTTGCAGTCTAGTGTTCCCTCGAATCATCTGAGTGATGTCTGGGGTGAGATGGAGGCGTCACAGTCCGATGTTACTTCAGTAAAACAAGGTAAGACCCCCACACCTCTGTACAGAATGCCTTTGTTCTCAATGCTGCTTCCCCCTTGGTCAACAATGCAACAAGAAGAGCCAGTTGGCACACAGCACAATAATGACTTAGTCCCACCTCGCCAAGAGTATAAATCTAGTATTTAGAATCCTCTATTTTGAGGACAAGAACAACTATCCAGAAGGGTTGACAGGCCTGCACCTCTCTCCTCCCCAAGCAGGGACGCCTGTTTGGTAAGATTTGCACCTCCAAGTATGTCAGATGTTACCCGGGAAAGTACCATTAACAAAAGTGCTGAACTATTAACTCGAGTTTGATCTTTGCAGTAAGTATATTTATCAATGGCAATTCTCAACTATTTATATCTGTTGCCCTAATAAATTACCTATCTTTTTCAACTTTGTGAAACTGTGTCAGTGAAAATCCTCGAGAGGGTTCTGACAGGCAAACATTGACTCTGATAAGTGGCTACACACATAATCCTTTAGACATAAACTGTTGACCAAGTCTGGGACTAAGACTGGACCTAGCTGCACCTAGACTCCCCTCTGAGAAGGAGTTTAGAAAGCAAGGGGGTCCTTTCTGAACCTCGTTACTCAACGAGAGGGCCTCCCTCAGCCACATGTCAGACTCATACTCTTAACACAACAGGAGATGACACTGCTCAAGAGGAGCTCAGCATAAGCAGAGCTTGGGGAATCTCCCCTGGTCCAGCTGAAGATGCCATTGCAACAGAGGCTCCTGTTACCTCCTGTAACAGGATGGGACCACCCATCCTCTTGGAAAGAGTTGCTCATCTCCTCTGGGACCTTCATGTGGTTCAAAGATGACAATAAATTAGCTTGTTTTAACCAACCTTCTGTCTGTGAGTGTCTGTGCAACACTTTGTGGGGAATGTGGGTGGGTAGCAGGTCGCTACCTGCTCAGATGCAGAAGCAGCGGGGCAGCATTTTGAGGTAAGTAAGTAGTACCAAAAGAGAATGCTTCCCCCGACCGCTTTTTCCTTTCTTTTCTGCTTCCATTTTAAGGGAAAGATGCCTTGGTATGTGTCAGGCTCCTGTCACCAGTTTGGCAGCTGACACAGAAAACCTTCCTGGGCGGCTCCCCAGGGGTCCTTGGCATCTGCGGGCTCAGATCTTCCCAGAAACAGCGAGCAGCCACTGCCGCCAGCACTGCCCACGGCAGAGGTGCTGGGGCCTCCTTGCTCCCAGGTGCTGCTGTGGGAATGGCACTGGGAACCTGTTCTTTTCCTTCTCCAAACAACTGACTTACTCGTAGACAGTCAGGACATCTCTTTCTTACCCTCTGATCTGTCTTGCATGAAAAAATAAATTGGGGTTCAGGTAATAAGCGTTATAAACACTGGTTTTAATACAGTAACAGTACTTCATTTTAACAGGCAAGCTTATTAAAGCAGGCTATATAGATGGTACATTTAAGGCATTGCTTCCATTTGGATTGTATGTCCCCTCTACCATATCAGCATCTTCCCATCTTGAAAATCTGGACATCCTTTTTATTTTCACTGCAAGCAGAAGAAAAATATTTTAGAAGAGAAGCACTACACTTGAATGTAACAAACATTTTATAAAGCAGACACCCATGTCTTTCTATGTGTTCAATTAAACACAGCAGTGCATTTAACTGCATCACGTAGGGCAAACATTACCACAAAGTAACCACAAAGATTTATGAATCACACACACAGAGCGAGTAACTTACTAGAGACAGCTTCACTTCAGGCTTTGTTACCTATAAAAACCCAATAAAGCCACCTGCAATTTAAGAATTCTCAAACAAATCTCGCCATGAGGACTAATGTGTCCATTTCAAAGCACTTACACAAGTCAAACTTCACAGTCCCTGAAGTGGGAACTTTTAATGCTCACAAAATTTCCCCCTTTGATGTGGGAATTCAGAGGGAAGGAAGCGTACATCCCAGGCTTAACTAAATTTTGAACATGCAGTTCTCTGAATGCTGGAATCTTCTTGAAGGAAATTTTAGCCAAGTCTGCCTTAGTTTGGGAACATTAGATTTTTTTTTTAAGTCCCATACATGGAACTTTAGGGTGCTCCATTTACAAATCTCAGTTTACCAAGGAAGTGCAGATACAAAGAGAATGTGATAGAATCCAAATTGCCCTCCATCTTCAGTTCCCTTCCCTGTCTTAATAGAATCAAGCTGGTTTACCACTCATGAAATTCAAGAGGCTTATGATTACCCAAAAGCAGGGATGATCTGTACTAATAGTTGTATCAGGGATCTTTTAACCAGAAGGTAGCGGAGCGGATTAGGAATATGAAAGGAAAAGTCAAGTCCAGGGAATGTAAACCAGCTGTAAGGAAAAGTTCTGGCTGAAGGACAGCTCTTGCGCTAAACCCTGCAGAGTCAGCTCAAGCTGCTGCATCTGTTTCCAAAGAAGTACTTGTGCTGCCAGACCAGGCTTAATTAAGATCAGCTGTTGTCACTGCTACTGGACGCTAAGTGTGGAAGAGACCTAGGCTTTGCATGTGAGTACCCGCTTCAGAATGGATTAGATCTAAGCTTTAAAAAAAAAAGCAGGGAAGAAGACCAGCTTTGGTCTTACAGTTAATGGGCTGCACTGCAGAACCAGGATGGGCAGGGTTTGTGCTGCACCTTTGCTCCAGGTGTGCATCAGTCACAGCAACCTCTGCTGCAGTACTCCTGATGGCACGTGGGGCTCTCCAGGTGCCCACGCAGTCCGCATGGCTACGAGAGCCCATGGCCGGTACTGCCTTGGCCATCAGGGAAGTACAACTCCCTTTCAAAAGTCCTTTAATGGGCTTAAACATGGGCTGGAAGTGACCTGCAAGTTGGCCATTGAGAATCACCCAACTTAATTTAGAACTGCTTTGTAATTCACTATGGGATACGGCCATATATGTGTTTCTACATCACTGGATTACACTGTTTATCTCAGCAACTACTGGTCATGCAGCTTGTTAATAAGGGCAGAAAGATCTCTTTGTTCTCCCCTCCTAAGGAGCGTGACGGACTGTACCTTAGACTCCTTGAAGTGAAATGAACATTTCTTATGACTATGAACCATTTTTCAAAGCTGAAATTCTTCCAATAAGACAAAGTGTTTTATCTTTGTTGTGTTCATGCCAAGTCAAACATTTTAGAAGAACAACTCCAGACTGAATTAGAAAGCCACTGAGTATGCCAACTACTGAATTATTAAAGGAAAAAAAAATCAGGATAGTATCTGACCACCCTGTGTCCCTTCAGACCAAAATACACACTTCTGAGCATGTAAGAGGACAGCACAAAAAGATGGTTAAGATAAAAATTTATCTTGTGTGTGTAACTGGATTAAATCCCATATATCGCACAAAATGTGTATACTAATAATATGTAAGCCCCACCACAAATTACTCAAGGAATTGGGTGGAAATGGCAGGTTTGGCTAGAGAACCCTTGGTGGTGTGTGCAGTGCTGAATTCAGGAATCTACCGTGCACCCATCTGTAACTAAGGGATCATGCCTAAAAACTGACACATCTGAGGAATGCAAGGCTGTCTTTATTCCAATATCCAATTCATTATGAAAATACTGAATGATGCACTACACCTAAAGGAAATCCCACTTAATAGCTCTTTCCAGTTTGACTGTAAAATGCTGGTCACTGCTTTTAAAGCACAGCATTTCAAACCGCTGTGACTTCATCCTTTTAACAATTTCAGCTGAGTAACTGTTTGTCTGCTTATGTGAATGTCAAGTGGAGCTATGTAAAATGCCTTATTAATGTCACAGAGAAACACTCCCACTCTGCTAGGCCAGTTGTTTTGCCAAAAAACTAAATCTCCTGGATTTGATCAGATTATTTCTGACAAATCTGTATCAGCTTTGCTTACTCTCCTTTTACCTCTGGCTGTCTACAAGTCAATCACTTAATAACTTACTCCGACATTGTTCTAGGCAGCAAAGATGGGCAGGCTTCTAATATGTAACGTGCCAGCTACATCTCTTCTCCCCTTTTCACAGATTGTACTCTGTGTGCCCTTTGATTCCCTGCTTCCTGCCTCCCAACTGTATGTTTACCAATTCTCTTTGCAATTTGTCATTTGCTTGGGTAGTTTGTGATGTTCTCTGGTGAAAACGCTACCAAATTCTGCAGATCTGCCTACCTTTAAACACACTTCAACACACTTTGGCACTTTCTTTAAAATATTATTTCCTTAAGTGTCCTTTGACACCTTTGACACTTTCCTAATTCTGGCCTGTGTTCCCTCTATCTTGGTCATTTGAATTTTGTAAATGATCTGGTCACAATCTTTTCCCCTGCCCCAAAGTCAGGAACATATTTCAGCCTTCCCTTTCTTGAGATCTATCTGTTTGTAATTTTGTAAATGCCCATCACTGCTGCTGTGCTACTCTCACTTCTTCCATCTGCTGGAAACAGAAAGTCTGTTATTTCATTAATATAAATTGCCTTTCACCATCAAATTCAGAGGTTTCCAGACAATCGTAATGGGGGTAACAATGCTCATTAAAGACTAATTTTCTATGTTTTCAATTTGGTTTTTTAAAATGATTAAATTATTAATGAATAAAATACTCTCTCTCAAATATTAGGAGATCTTTTTCTTGATTTTTACACAACCTGAATGGCAAAATCTGAACATTTAGCATTCTTACTCTTCTTTGTGAAAGGAAGTACAAGAGATTGGATCTTGAATGTAAACATTTTGTAATAAAAGCTGCATTTTGGGTGGGATCTTTCATGTTTTCTGATGGAGATTGTGGAAGAGTCTGGCATTATATTTAATGGTAATGTGGCATTGTATGAACATGACAGGTAACCCCCCTTTGAGATGCTCTTCCCTAAGAATTACAAAAACAAATATTCAGTGCTCCCAGCTAACTGAATCCAATCTAAGCCATTCCCAGGTATCACGACAAACGCTGTTGCAATGGATTGACACTTGACACTGCTAAAACCATAGTTTAACAGAGTTTGAACGATCCAAAGCCAATAATCTATCAGTTAATTGGGATGTGAGGGTGAATATTTTGCTTGCATATAAGGAAGGGATGGTTAGGATGTCAACTGAGTGACTACCTGTTTGAAAGGCAGAGCACACACTCGTTTGAGTAGGTTTCTCCGTCGGTCCCACAAACTGGATTGTAGTCCCTTGGACATCCAGGCACGCCATACTTGTGGCAGGCAGGCTAGGGAAGATAGATATATCAGAAGACTAAGACAGACCATGTGAAACACATCTCTTGAACCCTTTCAGATCAGCAGCTTCTGATCTCAGAGCTTCTGAAGAATACTGGCACGCTCGTGCACAGAAAGAAGCATCCAACGGGAGCTGGCACAGCATTATCAAGAGCCACATTATCTTTCATGGGAATTTATCGCTTGAGGCTTGGCTTCTACTGCCTGGCACAGCTTCAGCTGTGGTGTCAGGACATACGCGTGCTACAAAACGCAGCTCCTTCCAGTGTCTTAAAGTCAGTGGGACACAGGGACGGCGGGTCCCCATGCAGGGCACCCACAGATGGAGCTGGTAAGAGATGGGAATCACCAGGGCGTGCGTGCTGCAGCCCTTAGCAGGCGGGTGCCAGGCTCCCGGGGTCCCTCAGCTGTGGCGAGGGACCGTCTGGGCCAAGTCCGGGGGCTGAGCAGGGGTACCGGAGGGGTGGCCTGGCTCAGC